GTATTTTGTTCCCTTAGTCAGCTCTTACGACACCCACGGGATATTCTTAATCCCTCACCACACGGACTATTCGCATTAGGGTAGGGCAAATCAATTTATTTCGGCAATGAAATTTGATTAAACATCTACATAATACATATGCATTAAGTATCTTATTGCGTTATATTTTTATATATAGTATAGGTAACGCAAATAATACTATTTAATAAATGATTATAAATCGCCATTGTTAAGTTACGTTATATACCACAAGTTAAACTACTTTTATGTCAGTATTATAAAAGTAACAATAATAGAATTAAAAGTAAAATTTTATAAAATATATAGTTATCTATTTGATAAAATAAAGCGCTTTACAAACTAATCAACAGAGTTGCATTGTAGGTTATATAACATTCATAAACATAGTTTTATATCCACTAAGATACTAAATATCTACTTTTGTGTAAACATAGTTTCATCTCCTTTTTATATGGCAAAATAAAAAAAATGTCATTACCACTATACGCTTGTACAATGACGTCAATTCGTACCACCGACTTCGTTATGACGTCATAGTAACAGGTTTTGAGTCAGATAAGCAGACTGTTTTTATCACTGATCAGATCTATCTAGGTACTATTTGATTTACAAACTCTCTAATTGGAAACTATGCTTTTAGCCACGGGTTTTTTCCATAGCAGTCTTGGGAGTTGTCTTTTTAAATAAAAAAAAAGAAAAAAAAAAGTCTTAGATAAAATTCCGGATCTAAATAAGTCTTAATTTCGGCTGTGACACTATTTCATACATAAAATCAGGTTTTAATGTTAAATTAATAATGCTGTGAGTGTTCATTGCCCAATAATAATTTACAGGATCGGTTTCTAGACTACGTTGGTACACATAGAGATCTATTTAAGATCCTGTTCTTAATTCTTTAATTTAACTTGCGAAAAATATATGACGGAGTAATTAGTCATATAGCAAAGCCAATGTACGTAACGAGTCTGAACAAAAATCTGAACTGACTGTAATACGGTCAGTAATGTAGATAAAACATTTTTTATTATTATTATTAATTAAATTAATTAAACCGTAATAATTGAATAACTAACTCTGAGAAATCTGAAATCTAAGAACAATAATCACGAAATACAGAAACTCACGACAATCAAACGCTGTCATGAGCAAGTAGCTATTGAAGCAAATATTATGTCCTTAAAAATTTCGTTGTATATGTAAATAATATAACACCTTTTTTTAAATCAATATACACCTAGGTGAGTTGGATGACAAATGCTAAACTCATTACCAAAGAAAATATAGTTGACCGATGAGGCCAATTACGATAAATACAATTCAGCTTAATTTTGTATTGGCCTTTCGATGGCCTGACCTTGTGACCTGTCCAACCACAGCATGAATATACGAGTGCGCGACCCCGCCGTCATCGAGCTACTGCATTCTGAGTGAAGTTGCCCATCCTTGACTTGCCCCTAGATACCCTTACCCTTGCTGATTTGTTCTGTAGAATTCACCTTCTTATTTCGTTTAGTCTAAAAACGTTTACTCTCCTAAAGCAAACAGCTGGTTTAATAATAATAATATTTGGAACAAACTAAGCAGAGCTTGTACCTACTATGAAAACTAGATTGACTGATAGAATACATATATACTTTTTTTGTAAATACATACATATAATACATAAAAAACACCCAAACTCCGAAACAAATATTTGCAGATCATACAAACATTTGGTCCGACCCGGGAATCGTACCCGAGACCTCAGCACAGCAGTCGAATACGCTACCACTGCACCACCCAGGCAGTTAAAAGCTGGTGATAAAAGAATCCAACCAAAACCCTTAACAATGTAATGCCGCCGCAAACAACATATATATTTGGCATGTTGGGTACACCAATACTCGTACGAAGTGAGGTTTGTCAATAACACATAACGAATTGTGATGCCGCCACACATAGAATACCCATAATAAAATTAATATTAAGCCTACTAGAATGTCCATTAGCACCAAAGCAGTTTTAAAGTGTGAAAGTGATGATGTCAGTTTAAAATATATTTTACGTCATGATCATCAATCTTTGGCAATATTACTCAAATTCTGACGTTCATGACGTGAAATAGTGTTTTTTCTATGATTCCCAAGACTGTGCATTTAATAAAACACCTGCGCTACGCCGCGATTTGGCGGGAAAATGCCCGGCTACATAGTGTTAATTATGTTTCAAAACAATACAACGTTGTAATGGGATAAAACATAGACGTCATCGTTTCGAGGTCGTTCAACGATAAATTAATCGATAAGCTACTTTTTTTTACCAAGTTTTACAGTCATACAATATTTTCAATAGCACTATTTTACACACGTTATGTACCATTGTATCTAGTTATTAATATGAATTATTAGGATGGGGAAAAATAGTAGGTGAGTAATTGAAAAAATAGCTAATAGAAGAACCTAAGAACCTAAGTATTAAATAAATAAATAAATAAATAAAGTGTCTGTTGAAATTTTTCCAATAAATGTATCTGAATGTTTACACGGAAATTACACCAAAAAGAACAATGGCAGAAACATATTAACCTAAAACTTCAGCATTGAAAAAATTGACTTACAGTAAACTTAATAAATATTTTTTCTATGATTTATCATTATATCACCATATGTTGCACAAGGCTTATAAGAGCTAGGATATTTTTGAAGATTTTATTTGACCTAAGTCAGACATGTCAACGTATAACGGACTAGGGATGCGTGATGGCATTATTATATTATGGAACGTTTCATCGATAGTCGATTTTTATAGCGTTGGCTAAAATATCTACCGGTTCACCTTTTATGCTTATTAATTTTATTCTGACTTTGACACACACGCATGACTTACACGACCATTGCTCACACGGCAATTGTAGTTTGTTTGGTTGTTTTATTTTTGTTCAATTTAGTATTTAATTCGCATAGAAGTTTTTCTAGACTTCTTTCGCTAGTAATTTTGTTATGAGTATGGTAAAGAATAATTTCTCAAGTGTTTTAGGCATTTTTGATATTTAAGCGCCACCATTTAAGTTACAAAATTATGCATGGGTAGTTGCCGCTGTCCTTTAGTTTAATAGTTTTGTCTTTATTTTACCGGCTAATCTCGGGAAAGGGTAGAGTGATTTCTGCAGCATTTTCTGTTGTTATTTTAGGAACAGACTAAGGGCTCCGTGCAATAAATATCAAAATATTCATGCCAGCAAAGCCGTGGCGGTCACGGCTACTTTAAAATTAAACATGTTAACATATAATATCCACGGAGAGACATCTGAGTACTTTCGTCATTACCGACCGTTTCCACGTAAAGATTGGCTTGCATCAACACTGCCTTGAGGTCAGCCTTGTTTGGGTATAGTTCGCTATGTAAATATGTATTACTAAATACAACTACCGTAATAAATTTGCATGTAAGTAGTTCTAAGAACTGTATAAAAACATATTATACTTGTTGTCATGAGTAATTAACAGATTACGAAATATCTGAACTACCTAATATTATAAACGCAAATTTAATTTTGTTTGCTTACTTGTTTGAGTTACCTACTCAAACAAGTAAGCAAACAATATATATACTACTGTTACGAGACATAAAGCGTAACAATCTAATTGTCGTCTCGACTAGAGCTCGACCAGAGTGATACCATGGCCTCTCAGAAAATCAGTGAAATTCTTTCGTTGCTTTCACCGAGTGACAGATATCGGAGGAACAACTAAAGCCCCCCCCCCCCCCCTCCACCTCTCCCTAATTCCTGGTAAGAGCTTTCCAAGGGCAGTAACGGGCTTCTGTTTCTTGAGTCTGTTTATAGTGGGTACAAAACCAAATATGAATTTTAAACCCACCAACTTAAAATACTTTTATAGAATTCTGATTTTAGCATAAAGTAATAAACTAGTCGAAAAATTATCTTAAAATTAATTGACCTTACCAATATTAAAAATAATTGGAACAGTTTCACAGCAAGCCTCGACTTGACAGTAGAAATGAGTATAAGTCATAAAATGTATACATATTATGTAAAGTAGTTCTATTTTTATAACAATTATACATTATCATTCACATATCACATCTTTACACGGAACTGATTAATGTCGATTGTTAAGGTTCAAAATAGAGCCATACTCGTACATTGACATAATTTTAAAGTATAAAAAATATTTAACATTATAATGTTATTTATTGTTATTATTCTATTCTATTCAGAGTGCTTACTTCTTAAACTTACTAACGTTACTAAAACAGTTTATTATGATTGAGGGTATGCCTCAATCATAATAAACTGTTTTAGTAACGTTTGTCACATGTGTTACGAGTACTTATTATTGTTAACCTCTTTAGCTACGATAATATAATTACGATACGATACGCTAATTGTGGGCAGTATATTAGCATAAAGGTTAAACCAGCATCCAATTAACAGCAACAGTAGCCATTAAGCTACCGTTACTTTGTATCAATGTGGTCACACTTCATTCAAATCGTAGTGAACGTCAATAATGAATACGTAAATATTCACAATCGCCATCCGGTGATTTAGTCAATCTAAAACTGAGGCCGCTTTCTCGATTACAGCCAGAACAGAACAACAACGGCAACATAGGTATTGGTTACCATTTCCTGGAAATGGCGTCTTTTTAAGATGCCTTACAGACGTAAACCAGACCGAAACAGTATAAATCAAACACTATTATGAACAATTTTGCAGTATAACATATTAGAATTTATTCACTCGTGTATTTTGGTGATTTCCGAAACTAGCTCTAAGATTGATTCAGTCAGGCGCTACACTGGGTTAGAAGGTGGTAGAAGAGCAAATCACGAATTTAAGACAAGTAGCACCGGGTTCATTATTGAGATTCCTCTTACATCAAATACGAACCTACCCAATTCGACCTCAAAAGAAACTACTTCTGAACGATCTTTAAATCAAAAAATGATGATTGATTTTAACGAATTTCAGGTAGCAGCATCATCGTACAAATTTCCGCTGACATCACAACGGCTACGCATCGCACCTCTCCCTGAAGTCATCAGTGAAGAAAATGTTAGATCATCACAAGATTTCCGTGCTTATAGGGTAAACGAGAGATCTATTGCTAATAGCAACATACAGAATGTCCCAATCGAAGGAAGAATACAAGATCATAGGTCAATCGAACCTATACAAAGGCGGTCGGAGAATGGATCATCCAAGATACTGAATAACTTTTTGAAGCCAGTAAGGAGGAGAGGTACGTAATTCATTCTAAAATATACGTGCATATAAAAAGCAAAATTCTAAAATTAACTATAATTTAACTAATGGTTAATAATTAACAAGTAGATAAGTTAAAATTCATTTTTTATTAATTAAAACTAAAATTCGTCGATAGTCACCAAAGAAAAAATAAGATAATCTCCTAAAAAATAGATGAGAAGTACCCAGCAAAAGAAATAGTTAAGCTGTTTTTATCTTTGAACATTTATAAACAAATTTTCAAATGAAACCATAACAATTCTCGCAATTTGGCTTAAGTAGTACGTAAGTTATATAAATATTTGGTTCGTTTCGTAAAAGTTTCGTTCTAACAAGTATTTCCAATTGAATAAGCTCTTTACTTAAAAGGTTGTAAGCATCGTAAAATAAAAGTAAACACAAACATAAATGTCAACCGATCTGGCCCTGAGGCCCTGAGGCCCTGGTGTAGTGTTAGTGAGGACACGTAAATTTCAGAATATAGCGGCGGAAACCCTTGCTATTCTATAATTCATTCATACATTCAATGGTTTACCGATCTCTTGGACTTTCAACTAGGCCAATGCGGTCTACTTTCCTGTACCGAGAACGCTATTTTATCAACATCTGCTGTCAAAGTTCTGTTTTTTTTAAAACTATAATACAAGAGAATCCTAAAATTTCGCTCGTTTTTCTCAGCTCATTTATTGATTGGAAATGAAAGGTTTTAAATCCATTTAATTGACGGCAAAAAGTAGTTTTAAACAAACATATGCAATAATGGTTTTCATTAACCTTTAAATAAACATAATTTCCAACTAACTGCACTTAACAAGGCTGGCCGTTCACATCGACGGAAAAGATACACACACATACATACAATGCAGATTATCTTGGCACTTACGTCTGTAATGGACATAAGTACGCTTCCTCATTTTTATTTACCTTTGAATGTTTAAGGTATCGGTCAAATCTTCCAAAGCTTTATATCACATATGATTCATCAAATCCCCGCAGGATAACAGTGACGCTAATGAATTGAAGATTAAAAAGATTGAATATTTACCCACGTACCAAGTAAGATCTAGGGGCATAATCGGCCTCCAAATTGCGTACATTATATCTTTAACAACGTAATCAATACCTTTCTCTCTTATAATGTTCGATATATATTATGTAGCAACTTCTTTATTCTGTACGGATTTTCCTTATCAACAGCCAAATATGTCGAATACGTTGCAATATTCTTTATGCGACCACGACGATATACACGTTAAGGCGGATATGCAATAAAATCTACAAAGTTACAATAATTTATTTAGGCTTCGTAATCTTTATGTATACATACCAGATTCATAAAAGATGTGCAAATTTTGCGATTCGAACAAAAAATCGAATAAAAAAGTATTGTATATTATAAATCTATCATTACCACGATATAGTAAAATAACATACCGTTTAAAAAGTTAAATAAAAGCGACTAGAACAATTATAACCTAAGTAATTTTATCTAAGGATTAATACCTTACTTAACTAATGATTTATTACCATTGTGCAGTCTCGTCCGTCCATAACAGTTAACAGGTAAAAATTCGTGAATAAAAATCTATTATAACAATTTATTTTTATTCATTTACAAAGGCCGTGGACAAGAAGTTTATTGCAAAATTTACGCAACATCTAAAAAATATTCCTCTATAAAAGTGAATCGCCAGCAAATCATTCTAGTGGCGATGACCTGACTATTCAATAAGTCATATTTAATTACATGTTAGTATGACTAGATATATTATATTTTTGATAGTATTAATTTCGGTACATTTAATTTTGTATTGTAATTCAATGTAGGTATAGAAGCGGGTGACCAATTCTATTTCATAGTAATAACAAACTATCGCGTTCAATGATATCTAAGTACTAGCTATTGCCCACAGGTTCTCTCGCATAATTATTTCTTATTTCTAACGTTTAGAGGTTTATAATTTAATCGTATTTTTTTATGTTTATTACCTCCTATCCCCGTCATTTTTGAACCAATTTGAAAAATTATTTTTTATTAGGCTTGATATATGTAGTTATCGTTTTATCTCATACAAAAGTAAATAAGAGAACATCATGTGGGATACATTAAAGTCGGACATTTTTTTTTATAATTTATTTTCCCTATGTCCGTTTTGTAAGAGGAATGATGAATGAAGTACAAAAAAACGTAACAAATAAACAAACTCGAATTAACGTGTATAAATTTTGTTAGTAAGGTTTATATATGAACGAACTTCTTTTTGTTTTTCGAACATATTTAATTGGTGGATGCATTTCGATCACATGATCGAGCACCACTAGTATCGTAATTGAGTCCCGATTTAGCCATCTAATATGCATACAAACCACGAAAGTTTAAAATAATAAGAGTTTAGAGCACGGGGAGATGATATTTTCTCGACCAATATTACTGACATATATGTATATTCCATGAATATACTAATGTAATAATTACTATCATGATCAATACTAGTTTTCACTCTCATTGTTGAATTAACTGAATACAGAAAAAAAGATAAGATGCATTTACGGGGTACACATAAAGTTAAACTGCGGTAACGTAATTAAAGTACCGTTATTTAATAACCCTATTGTTTGTTACTCGGAAGCAAATAATACGCAATATAAATAAAAACTAAATTCTGGTCCTTGGTAAGCGCATCACGTAAACACGGTGTCGGCTGTCCAACCGTTTATGTAATGACGAACGATGAATGATTTGACTAAAACTTTTTTATTAATATGGAAATAATAGTTCGATTTTTTTTTAAAGGAAGTATAAATTCGAATAGTAAGTTACTCACTCGGCAATGGGAAAATTAGGAGTAAACTATTCCATAAAATAAAAAGTTTTTTTTTTTAAACGTCATCTGTCGAATTTGCTAGTATAAAATATAATTAAAATATATATATTGTATGTTTAAATGTTTTTAAGTTTGTTGCATAAACTTAGAAAAGTTAAGATAAGGACCAGATTAAGTATTTATTCTACAATGTTCAATGCATACATACATAGGTGTACTAAGTATTATACGATACTTTTTTTAAACTGACTTAGAAAAGAAAGAATAAACAATGTGGACGTATAGTGACACGCTCGCTTAAGCTTAAAGGGTTCTGACTGCCCTTACTCATGAACAGAAATACAATATTAAGCTAACAGGATTGATAATAATGCAATTGTCAATATTTATATCCTTTCAAGTCGTGTGGTTCAATTTCGAAAAAAAGTCTTCATATGCATGACGCGCTGATAACAAAATGTATAAACAAGCGTCATTACAAATCTGGGCAAGTCATACTCATTGTTTATCTGAGGTTTTGTAGGTTTTGTAACTTGATGAGTTTTTTCCAGTTATTTATTTGCACGCTTTGATTCCGTCCATTCATCCGATCACAATGTCATCTCACTAATATAGAGCATATAAATTATGTAAATGTAAGGAATTGCCTGACGTTTCGACTAGATTACATTGGCTGACTGTGACTAAGACCAGCTCATAATGTGATGACGTTAATTCCTCTACATCTACTTACTTAAATCATGGAATATGAAAGTTTAAAACTCAATATTAGGCATATTCGATCTAAAAATATATAGGTGCAAAAAAATGTTTAGTTGGTTTGTGTACACTACAAAAACTTTGTTCAAACACTTCAAAAGGTTTAGATTTTGTCACGATATACCTAGAACCCGCTTTAAATAATGTTTTGATCTATTTTTCGCGTCAGTTTTGTTTGTTTGTTTTTGTTTGTCTTTTCTCATCAATGCAACCACAATGTGCAACAGTGAAGCGTGGCAGGGCACAGCTAGTTAATTATTATAATTCTTGAGTTCTGAGCTCCTAAATATTATATGCCTGTATCTTTCTACTAAACCTAAAAATAAAAAAGGATCCTGGAAATCCCGAATAGTTTTCAAATTTTATTCCACCAATCGAATAGAATATAGCCCTCGAAATTTTAGTTAGGTGGAGAGGTATGTAGGTAACTATTGCTGGGCATTGCCTTCCACTTATAACATTATGATAATTTATTCTTTGGAATCGTATAAAACCTGTGTCACATTATAAAGGTCTCTGTCCACTAAAAATCTTTTACACAAGTTATACGGGTTTAAGTTTTTTTTTTTACTGTTAAAATAAGAAGAATGAAGATGAAAATTAATTAAAACTAATCTTTGAAATACTGGTTTTTGTATGGTTTTCGTATTTATATAGCGTCATTATCTTAGCTAGCAAATTTTTCTTTCAAAGTTGAATCTAGACCAGGATCTTTGAGTAGGTATAATGTGATATTTCTCGGTGGCTACTTTTTTAAGGTATCCCAGGTCCACGGCAATAAATTCGTGACGGCTTTAGTGGGCTCGAGTTCGTGTCGATACACATTTGCTTTGACCCTCGGCCCTGGTGAACTGATGAAACGCGCGGGTTTCCACACAATGAAAAGAATACGATATAGTGTGAAGAGACCGTTGCATCATCCTCAAGGCAAATCACAATCACTTAAATTACCCGAAAAAACAAAGCACTCATTAACTTAGACCAAAAAACGACATTAAACTGTGAATGTTATCATCTTATGATCACTTTGTCTCAGGTTTAAAGTTAAATTATGAAAAACTATTTGAAATACGGATGTTGGTACACGGATATAACTCTTATTTTTTATTCATTGCTTGTGTAACGGATTAGTGACGGGATCGCATTATAGAAGAAATTGACGTCCTTTACGAAAATCAGGTGAAGTTAGCTATATAATATATATACTAGCTGGTACCCGCGGCTTCGTTCGCGTGGAATTTGAAAAACGTTGTCTTAGTGGTGTAGTACGGTACACGACTGCAGTCCATGAGAAACCGTGTTCGATTCCCGGATCGGGCAAAATTTTATAGGGTTTGTCTGAGAGGAGAAAAAGCCTAAGTTATTCCTTATATAGACAGCTACCTGATAGTAAAACATTATAAAAATAGGTCTAACCATATTGAAGATTACCCGGAACACACCGACAGACTGACAGACCGACAAAAAATATTTAAACTGGTTTTTAGGTATGGTTTGTAGGTATGAAGAAAAAAACTATTATTTTGACATTCAATTTTATTTATTTGTATAGATATAGATATATATATAGACAACAGAAAACGGTTATAACGGAATAGTACAATATTAAAAAAATTGAAATCCGTTTATTCTTTACCTTCGTAAAAGCAAATAAGTTTAGTGTTGTTATTAGTTTTCCTTTGTTTTATCTTTCTTATATCTAAGTCTCAAATAGTTATTTATACTGTGTTTTCAGGTCAAATCGACAGCAACCCAATTACCTTCCCCGGACCGACTGATAGAACAGTCAGTAGTAGGTCTGGTTTTGAACCGGAAATTCCAGAATCATGTAGAAATTCGTCATTCTGTGAGGATGTACCAAACTACCCTCAAGAGGAGGTTGACCAACTCATTTCTGAGGTAGGCAAATAATTTATATACATATACCTGTGTCTATACAGATATACTTCGAGTTAATTTGTCATGAGTAAAGTGGTTAAAAAAAGATTTTCTGTTCTTATTTTGTGCTGTCATTAATGGCGGCCTCAGCCTTTGCGAGGCCCCGGAGGGTAGGACATTACGAGGCCCCGGACCGGTAGGACAGTGCTCCGGGCTCCGGGCGAGCGATCATTGCGAGGCCCTTGTTTTTGTGGAATTAGTTACTTAAAACAACACATATCGCTGCTCGAACATAAAAGCATAAGCCGACGACTGTAAATATTAGAGGCGAAATGGAACACCAGAAATCCCTTAACCTAAATCGTAAACATCATGATAACAACACGCAAGAGAGCGTGAGTTTTATAATGCGAGGCGTAACGCTCGATTGATATAATGGTTCAAATGAACAGATTTTTATACCTGGGTCGCGAGTGCGCGAGGCCCCTGCTCGCCACCCCTAAATGCCGCCTCTGGCTGTCATAACGTAATTTTGGCATCTACATCGGCACTCAATAGCCGTTAACTCAGGCAACTATTTCTCTGATTCTGTGATTCTTAAGTAGAAATTGGGAATTCAAGCATGAATTCATACCTTAAAACCTTATTACGTCCGATTTTAGTAATGTTTTTTCACTACAGTTGGGGAATTCACTGCAATTCCATCTCGACAAATTGTACGTGCCTGATACACCAGACATTAACCAGAGGTTAGGTCCTGTGGATGAGAACGTAGAACTGTGCCAATTTGACGAAAAGGTAAGTCCAAAAAAATCTATACAGCTGTTGTCGATTGAAGTAAAAATTTATATTGCTTGAAACTTACAAACGAAATCTCAAAAGTAATCATAGTTACTAAAGTCGTGTAGTAGTCGTCGCAAGGAGCAGGTTGAAGAATTTTTAAAAGTCTTTGGACAGCTAATATAATATATTGACCAATAAAACTTTTCAAGGTCCCAGCATAGAGGCAAACCCAAATTATTTTTAATATTTAAGTGTTTTTATTTCAATCCCGTCTTAAAATATGTTTTTGAAATGTTTCATATTTATACTACGCTTGAAAAATATGTGTTTTCCAGGTAATTTACCCAAGAACTGCTCTGGGGTCTGACGGCAAATGGTTATCTTTGTTAAACCGAAGAGACAATCCAGTACAAGGTTACAGAGTGGAAGTATGCAATTTGTAAGTATAGGTTTGAATCAATTTCCTTGTTTCTATAATTTCTTAAATTAGAAAACCAGACCATTGGAACTTCTAGTCCAGTCTAATCCATATGTTTATCTATTCTTTGAAAATACTTAATTAATTAGATTTTTATGTAATTAACGGAATTAACATTTAAAGCTAGAAACCCCCATACCTACTTGGAAATCGACACAGAAAATAATTGAGATTTTTTTTAACAGTTCCGCAGGTACAGGTTGTGCCAATATTGCAGTTTTCCAACAAGGTTACGAAGCCAGTTGCAGACAGAAATATGTTTTTCGAAAAGCGACAGCCTTCGATAAAACTAGCGATGGCCTCAAAACATATGAAACAGAAATCAAGCTGCCCAGTTGCTGTTCGTGCGCAGCCAAGTTAAATATTTAATTTAATAATTAGGTAAAAAGAAGTTGTTTAAATGATTTTCAAATCCAATAGACCAGTATTTTATAATGGTTTAGTAAGCGTCGATAGAACTATTGGTATAAAATTTTCTATAAAATTCGAACTATATAAAATTAATTTAGTCATTACTAGCTTTGCAAATGGGCTAAATTCTATGTGAAGTATGTGAATTCCATATACATATAAATGTACAAGATATCCAATAGAACAAAAATTTAATTTAAAATTACCATAAACACCGATACCGATACTTAAATAGTTGTTTAAATTTGAGTAAATCGACATGTTTAGTGTGTGATAATTCATTTAATTGTTTATTCAGAAATTAAAAATACAGATTCTGAATAATACTATCACATAAACACCAGACTAATTGAAATAAAGCTCACTTGTGTAGTCATACACAGTACAAGAGTTGCCATTCTAAATAATGTTGTTGTAAAATATATGCAAGCACTGCAGATGTCAGCTGCTGTCAGACTTAGATATAAATTGTTTTTATGTTCTACGGCACTGCCTAGTCGATCGATTTGAAAATCATTTTCAACTTAAGCGAAGAGGCTACATTCCATCAGGATTGTAATATACTGTAACCTGTGTTCTGTTTAATATACTTACTAAATTTGTATATTTATGAACTCCTTCATACCTGTAAATAGTGATAGGTATTTAAGATTAGAACACTAAATCTAATCTGCAAAATACTAGCTGTATACAAGATTATAGTCTGAATATTGTACTAAAACTCATGACGATGTTCCGAAGACAAAAAACTTTTACAAAAGATTTATTATGACTGACTGCATGCTTAAACTGCATTGTTAAATATTATAACTTCATTTAGATTATTTTTTTCTGAATTCCAAATGAAGTGAAATTTGATTTGAGGAACGATGAACTGAAATTTGATTATATTTTTGTTTATGAACTAAAAAATTAAGTAAGCAGGTATGTTCACTAGATAACTACCTTACGTACGTAGTTAAAGTCCTCTATGTCAAATGTTTCCATCACCTGCCACGTTATCAATGTTGAGTCAATATAAATTCACCATGAGTCCATGATTAATTATATTCTAATAATCTGTAAGTACATAACATATTATCTAGGAGCGAGTAAATAAACATATATAGTGAACTAATTTTGGTTTCATTAAAATTGATTTTTTGGCAATTGTGGACTACATATACATTATCGTGGAAGAGTCATGCTTCGACACGAATGGGCCGGCTCGACCGGAGTGATACCACGGCCTCACAGAAAACCGGTGTTAAGCAATTCTTTCGTTGCCTTTCACTGAGCGAGTGAGGTTACCGGAGCCCAAAATCTGCCTTGGAGTCCCTCCCGCTCGAGTCAGCGGGAGGGACTCCAAGGGCAGCAACGCACTTGTGACCATGAGTGTCCATGGGCGGCGGTAGTTGCTTACCATTAGGTGACCCGTCTGCTCGTTTACCCCTTATACCATAAAAAAAACATTAACATATAAATTAAAATTATAATACGCTCCAGTCGCCTGTCCTGGTCCCTGGATGTCCGTGAGGCAATGAGACGCAGAGACAAAGCGTTGCTAAAATTCCGGAAAAACAGATGCGAAGCAAACTGGTCTCTTTATAAAGTTGCAAGAAATCGGTGTAATCAGGTGGTGCGCAATGCTAAACGCTGCCATATTATTAAAAACCTTAATTATTCCTCTGCTTCCCAAATCTGGCGATTTCTCGGTACCTTGGGCATCGGTAAATCCTGGAAAAGTATCTCTTCAACGACCTTTGATTTGGATGACATTAACCGACAGTTCACCACTCTTAATTTGATCACCAAACAAAGTATCTCACCTTAAGGTACCTGGCTGACCTTCCTCGCCCAAATATTAATTCCTTTCAATTTTCTCCAGTTGCATCAGATGACATAAAAAAGATAATCCTCTCTATTAAGTCCAACGCCATGGGAAGTGACAACATAAACCGTCGTATGATCACACCTATCCTCGAACATCTTCCCGCGCTTATAGATAGTTCAACTCATTTGTGCGCGCGGCCCTATGTGTGCGTGGGGATGTAAATATACAACTTTCATTCGTGTGGCAGTCGTCGTCCGACTGCCGCGTCACTGCCACACGAATGAAAGTTGTATATTTACATCCCCACGCACACATAGGGCCGCGCGCACAACTGAGTTGAACTATCTATACGCATATAGTGAATTATTCACTCGATTCAGGGACAGACTTCACTGTGGTGCAGTGCTTTTGTAATACCCCTCCCTAAGGTCTCTAACCGTACCCTTATAAATCACTTACGCCCAATTTCCATACTTCCCTTCTTATCCAAAGTGCTCGAGACGTGTGTACATCAACAGTTATCACAATTTATCTATCGGAATAATTTACTAAGCCCTTTTCAATCGGGTTTTAGGCCTGGCCATAGCACAACTTCTGCACTCCTGAAAGTGACTGATGACATTCGGGCAGGAATTGAGGACTCTAAAGTAACCGTGTTGGCTTTGATTGATTTCTCAAATGCTTTTAACACCGTTAGTCACGATGTCCTTCTATCTATCCTTTCCTATCATATGATGTCATCTGATGTACTGGAATGGTTCTCTTCATACTCGTATCTTCGAGGGCGCCAGCAGACCGTCCGTGTCGACGAATCCACCTCCATATGGTGTGATCTTGACTCTAGTGTCCCCCAAGGCGGCATTCTCTCTCCACTATTATTTTCTATTTTTATTAATCTCATCACTCAGAATCTTCAATGTGCGTACCATCTTTATGCTGATGACTTGCAACTTTACTATAATGCTGCTGTAGATAATATAACGGAGGCTAATGCCATGATAAACGGCGACCTAGAGACTATTAGCGGTTGGTCCTATAGGTTTGGTTTGACTGTGAACCCTACAAAGTGCCAGGCTATCATCTTGGGCAGTCCACGCATGACCAGAAGGCTAGATCAAGAAAAACTACCATCCCTAGTATTTAACGGGTCAATCATTCCCCTAAGTTCTACTGTGATGAATTTGGGACTGTTCATTGATTGCAACCTTAATTGGCAAACTCAGGTTACTAATGTCAGCCAGAAAGTTACAGGAACCCTGCGGGTGTTATACCGACTCAAGCATTTTTTACTTTCCGAGATTAAAGCGATGTTGGTACTAACTTTATTTTTCCCATTATAGATTATGGTGATGTGTGCTACTACGACCTGAATGCAGATCTCCTCAACAAATACGACCGTCTTCTTAATAACTGCATTCGATTCATTTTTAAACTTCGTAAATATGATCATATTTCCTCCTTTCGTCTTAAATTAAATTGGCTCCCAATTCGTCAGCGTCGTCACCTGCGGGTACTAACGACTCTCTACACTATTCTCAACTCGCTAGACGCACTGCTGAGCGCATGCGCCCTTTTGGGAGCACAAAGGGAACATGGGGGTTCCCACACAGGAGGGCCTCTATACGCCGGGATTTCCTTTCTAGGGTACACCTGGTTCCTCGGCTACTGGTACCCGAGACGGCGTGCGGTTTTAGGTCGGTTCGAGTCCGAGATAATCACCCCAGTGGGTGATATCCGAGGGGATTTCCGCACAGGAAAAAAAAATGTGGTAATTATGAAAATTAGAACAAGGTTTATTGTTAATGTGGTTATGTTATTTTAGTCTAATTCTTTAAGCAAAAGGCCTTTGAACTTGCTTATTGAGCTGCCGAAAATATCAACATTAATGAATATTTTGCTGTAAGTGTCTAACATGCGACGCATCGGCGAGCGCATACCAGTTGGTACGACACGCACACTTTACGTCTGCAAATCCTTCTGAGGACTATATAGCATAGCATATTATTTAATTCAGTGCAGTTAAATTTGTTGGTTGCGATTTTATACAGCCTCAATGTACTTTCGTTTCGAGCTGAGAGTCAATAGTTTATATTTAACTAGGAATTCATTATACGGCAAATAGAAACCATGGCACCTATAGTGCAGTGCAGGTAAGTATTTACGTTGGACATTTTCAATTATATCTACATATTTGTTGTAGAAGGGGTTCCAGATCGGCACTGCATACTCCAATTGTGAGCGAACTAATGATTTAGATATAAAAAAAAATAGCTTAAAAAAAGAATTACATAATTTACAATTAGCAAAGTTAAAGTTAGAAATACCTAGAACCTTTAAAAATGAAAACACATAGTACAAATCCACTAACAGAGTGCTGCCACTTAGGCCAGATGATATGCAGTCATAGATACAATCCCAGTTTTAGTGGACAATCCACTAGGTGTTGCCAATCTAGTACACTTAAACTGGTGGTTTTGACCCCCTCTCCCCTCCCTCCGTTAGTGGCGAAATATTGCTAGTGAATTTTTCTAGTGGTAAGATTGTAGAGGACTTAGGAGATGGTGTTGAAAGATAAGTGTGAGAACTGGTTGTGTACGCAAACCTCAAGAATTTTGATAAGTAAGAAACAATGAAGATTGGACGGAAGTGCTCAGGAAGAGAAGGATTATTAATTTTAGGCAATAGGATGATGTAGGCTTTATGCCAGAGAGAGCTAAGGTCGCGGAGTCGAGAGAGAATTCAATAAAATAGGCTATAATTTGCTAAAAATTCAGGATGGTAACTATCATCCTACGACCCACTATCATCCCCAGAAGAAAAATCAATATTGACAGTATTGGGTCAGAAGTTAAATCTTTTCTTTGCTATGTAAGAAATAGTAAGAATACGCTGTGGTTTTAGGTTGGAAGAAAAAGGCCGTAACGAACATGAAATTGCAATAAACTTTATGAAACAAATGATACCAAAGAATCGTATCAATCTGAAACCGACGATGATGGTGCAGACAAACAATAAGTATTTTAAAAAAAAGTTTATGTTTAGTGGAAAATTTAGCTACTGTTGGAGTAGACCCGTTTTTCGTTAGAGGTTTTCTGTTGGTTTTAGTGTTGAAATGTTGAATCTAGTGAAGAGTGAATTTATATGTTGGCAGCACTGAAGATGTTACTCTATGAACAAAAAAGTGAGGTGATAACACGCAATATCACGTACAATGAAACTACGCCTAGTCAGCCAAAATGTTATCAAAAATGTCCACAATATTTACAAGTAAAAATACTGAATTGTGTTGTAAAAGGGTGTAATACCTACAAGAGAAAGATAGTAGTAGTAATGGAATCGCATTTTACACAAAAGTAAGCATATAAGTAGCCAATATTTTCAATAAAATAAAATAATGATCCCAGCACCAGCCGCTGCACACATGTTTATAAAACCGGCATCACTTCGTTTTTCGCTAAGTTCCATCTTAACCTTTTTATTTGATCTGAGGGTAGATAATTATATTTATAAAAATGAAAAAATCATTATCAATAGTCTTTTAAACATGGAGTTATAAAGGCATACATCATTAAAAATTATTAAAATAAAAATAAAACTCATTTCGTTTTCTACATGTCCTGCTATTGGTATTTTACCTGACCCACGTGATTCTGGTGAATTGGATTGAATAGGATTGATTGCTTTGTTGCCTAGATAGGTACGTACCATCAGTGACAGTTGACAGTTCTGACATTCATTCATTAGTGTCATTTAATGTTTTGAAACGTTAAACTTGGGTGGATACTGGATGGATAGTGGAACTACTAAGGAGATATTATTGTTGTAAGAACAGCGTAAAATAAGGCATAAAATGCTGATATCTCTGAACAAGAGATTCCTTTTATCATTATATTTCACGATTATAAGACCTAGTATTGTTCTAGCACGTCACAATATGACTTCTGGAAGCAGTGAAGCCGGTGAGCGAAGTTTTGGCATTTCATCTACCTACTTGCTTGCTTAATGATCGTAAAACCTCTGATATTCAATGTTGAAGTGTTGTGCTACAAAATGTTTGACAATGAGATACCCTATATGCTTTACTAAAAAAAATATCCCAAAAATGAAATAATAACCTTGTTTTTGCATTGAGAACCAGCTTCAATAATAATTTTGTTACTATAATTGTAAACTTGAGCTGTGGTATTTTAATATTATTAAGTCTAAGAAGACAATAGGACAGTTAAAATGAATTGTTTAACAGTCATCATGGCATGGAATTTATAATGACCTGTGACTGTAAGAAACAATTATTTTACTGTTTTTATGCCATTTGCCATTTGTCATTTTTTTAATTAGAAAACCGTCACTTCTGCTTGTATTGCATGCTGTCATCAACTTTATTGAGAAAATATTGTATAAAGAATGTTTCATAAAGAGAAATTGATTTGATTTGTCAGTCAAATTCCACTTCCACACACTGTCAATTGATCTTTGTTTTATATCTGTTACATTGACTTATACAGAACCCTGGATAAGTTTAAAAAGATTTATTATGTTTCAGACAAGTACTCCATTGCATATGTGACAGTACCAACTATAGAAGATGGTAAAACTATTGCCCGTTTGCTTGTTAAAAATAAAGTTGCCGCATGTGTCAATATTATTCCACAAGTTACTTCAATATATGAATGGAAGGGGGAAATGACTGAGGATAGTGAGGTACATTATATTTATATGTAATAGTTTTAAGAATCATATTTATTAAAAAGAATATTAAATGTATAGCAAATAAGTTTTTCATTCCTCTCCCCAAGAAAAGTAATCCATCCTCCTTCTCAGATTACCGTCCTATATCTATCCTTCCTTTTTTCTCCAAAGTTCTCGAGCGCCTTATTTACACTCAGTTAAGCTCATTTCTCTCAAGAAATTGTCTCTTTAATCCTTTCCAGTCAGGTTTCCGTCCAGGCCATAGCACTACCACAGCCCTAGCCCATATTACGAATGACATTAGGTCGGGCATGGAGGAAGGCAGGCTTACGGTCTTTGCTTTACTAGACTTCAGCAACGCCTTTAACACTGTGGATTTTGATGTGTTGTTGGGTATATTGTGCTCTCTTAACATATCTCCATCGGCAATTGACTGGTTTCGTAGTTACCTGTATGGTCGCCAGCAGCGTGCTTGTATCGAAAATGTGTACTCCTCTTGGCGCACAACATCTGCGGGCGTACCTCAGGGCGGCGTGTTATCACCGTTACTTTTTGCAGTTTTTATTAACTCAATCACAAATCAATTACTTTCTTCCTACCATCTTTATGCAGATGATCTCCAAATTTACTCACAAGGTACTCCAGATAATTTAACAGAAACAGTGGATACCATTAACAGGGACTTAGTTCGAATATGTAACTGGAGTATGGAGTACGGACTCAGTGTAAACCCTACGAAAACACAAGTCATTATAGTAGGAAGTCCCAGGCTGCACTGTAAAGTAAACCTTCAGCAGATACCACCTATATCCTGCAACGGTTCGGTTGTCCCATATAGTGAAAAAGTTAAAAACTTGGGGATCTATATGGATAGGTACCTATCCTGGGGTCCTCAGATTGGAGAAGTTAGTCGCAAACTATTTGCAGCGGCGGGATCTCTGCGAAGGCTACGCAACTTCCTTCCTACCAATACCAAAATTGCACTCGCACAATCTCTTCTTCTTCCCATCCTTGACTATGGCGATGTCAGCTACCTGGATCTCACCGAAGACCAACTGAATAAACTTGAGCGACTCCAAAACCTCTGTATTAGATTCATATTTGGTTTACGCAAGTATGATCACATCTCAGAGTATCGTTCCAAACTCAAGTGGCTACCAATACGCCTTCGCCGGAATCTCCATATTCTTTCTCTTTTATACAGTGTTCTGTTTCATCCTCACACACCCTCTTATCTCAAAAACGTTTTGAGTTTCTACACACCACACATTGCAGGGACTTGAGGTCATCGGAGAATTTAAAACTGAAAATGCCAAAACATTCCACCCAGTTTGCAGATAAATCTTTCACTGTGCAAGCAGTAAGACTCTGGAACAACTTGCCTGAAACAATCCGACAAGCTAAAACTTTGCCTGTTTTTAAAAAAATATTTAAAGATTTTTATCTGTCATTATAAATACTGTTCTGATTCCCTATTTAATATATTATATATTCCAAATATGTATGGGTATATGTGTATGTATGTATGTGTATTTGTATATGTGTAATGTCCATAGATGTATATTTGTGTATGAATGTGTTTGTTTATGTTTGTAAATATTTTTAAATATTCACGTGATATTGTGTTACGTGTATGTATACTAAGCTAAATTGTTAAATACCTAAAATCCATGACAAGGTTGTCTGGAAGAGATCGCTGTGAGCGATAAGACCGCCGATTGTTACGTTTACCTATTTGTAACTCATCTTTTGTTTTTTTTTTTTTTCTATTAGTGTATACAATAAAGATATATTAAATAAATAAATAAGGTGGATATTTCATTTTGATTGTATTTTTACAGTTTATTACAATTCAATATGATGTAGGTACAATGTAGTTGCTCTCAGTATCCATGTCTCAAATCTCTTGAGAGAGACGTTGTTGTAAAAAAATATTGTGTAAATAAATAAATAACAAACATTGTAATCCGTGATGTATCTTTTATTTCATTAATACCAATAAATTAAAATGAAACAATTAATAGAATGTTATGTTTTTATTCTTTCAGTTGTTAATGATGATCAAAACAAAAACTTCAGAGGTGGATAGATTGACTGAATTAGTTCGCAGCAACCATCCATACGAAGTGTGTGAAGTCATTTCGGTACCCATCAAAAATGGAAATCTTCCATACTTGGCTTGGATTGGGCAACAAGTTACTAATACTTAAAAAATATCGAATTAAGTATAATTTTATTATTGTATAAGTAATTTTTATTATTGTTTTATTACTTACTCTGATTTTAGATATTTTGATATTCTAATTGAGTAACAATAATCTTAGAAATGTGTTAACTAATTAAGTAGTAACTTCTGCAAAAGTTTGGTTCTAAAATTCAAATTTAGTCTGAGAAGTTAAATAAATTTTATTATTATTATGTATTTGGTTATCACTGATACATTATCACTATAATAGCTATAAGCAGAAAGAGATGGGCAGTCTCACCTTATGTACGACTGACTGTTATTACCATTGAGCTATTATTAATCACCCATTTGTTTAACTACTACTTAACTATAACAGCTGGATTGCTTAGTGGTTTGTGTAACCGACTGCTACGCAAAAGTCGCGGGTCCGATTCCCCTCAAGTCAAACATTTGTGTGCATGAATATTTAATGTTTGATTTTGTCTGGATTTTTTTATGTATAATATGTATGTATTTACAAAAAAAAAACTAAAATATGTATTTAAATCAGTTGTCTAATACCCATAGTACAAGCTCTGCTTAGTTTGGGATTAGATGGCATTGTGTGAATGTAGTAGAATATTACATTACTTAAACTGAGGGTTGCAGCTATTATATCTTAGTGGCTTATAAAACAGAGCCTTGTCAAAGGATCTCGAAGGTCGAAGGTCTCTACAAATTTTAAAACAAGAAAGAAATAATAAATGAAAAGATGAAACTCTCAGTACATTACAGTACAAAGGAAGTAACATTAATGATTTTGAGTCAGCAAGTTAAAATTAAGTGGAGCATAAATATTTTGTAAAAAGTGAAAACCAGGGTCCCTGAAATGCAGCATAGAATGTTAATTGACAAGGTGGATAGACAATATTTTGAACATGATTGACAGCTTGAAACTGGCAATAAACATTTGTACTTTCTTACTTTCGTTTTTTTGCATTCTTGAAAGTCAATGTACCAGTAACGGACCTCCTATGGCTGAAATGTCACAATGAATCAAGATTATAGGTATATAAATGCCCAACCCTATTTTATAACAACCCTATTTAATCACTTATAGTTTTGCAAAGTTGAAAACTAGATGTCTAACAATTATTATTTGTTATAAAAATAGAGATATTTATAATAATATTATATCACACACTGCCATCTGATCCCAAACTAGGCAGAGCCTGTACTATGGTAACCAGACTGCTGATAAACATACTTATATATTTTTAAATACACATATTATAGATAAATTACACCCAGACACAGAACAAATGACCATGCTCATCACACAATATTTGTCCTGAGTAGGAATCGAATCCACAACCTTTAGTTTAGCAGTCAGGGCCACTGAACACTAGACCAAGAGGCCCGTCAAATAATACTGAGAATTTGAAATCGAGAAGTAATAAAAATCGTTCACTATTATAGGGACCCTACAAACTTGCACCCCATTTCAAGGTTAGTTTTGAAAAAGTTAGTAACAACGATTTTTATTACGTTTTGAAATGAAAATGTATAAGAAGCATTCGTAAGTTTGGTAGTAGCGTTTTCAAACTCGCAAACCCCTCTTGGGTTTGCGAGTTTGAAAACGCTACTACCAAACTTACGAATGTTTCATATACATTTCCAACCCCCATTTTGCACCCTTAGGGTTAGGAATTTCTAAAAATCGTTAGGCCCTAGGACACCTACAACTCAAGAGTCACGAGTGCATTAACGCCCCTCTGCCCCCACCCCTCTCCCCCTTATACTTACACTTTAAATTGATCGCAATTAATGTATCATTAGGCATTATGATTTGACAGTTGTAAATACCTGTAGTATTTACTGGAGAAGAGCCAACAACCTGTAAATAGACATTTGGTTCAATAAGACGCAGAACAAGTAGATTGGATAAATTTAATAAAATCTATGTGTCTAATCTAATCTGTACACTTAAAAAAACTTTGCAAATTATTAAATCTTTACAAACACTAATTCAGTAGGTTATGATGCTGTCAGTACGAATGTTATAAAGATCTGTGCAGATACCATTGCACCTATCCTCACACATTCAATAAACTTATTCAGGGTATATTTCCAGAAGAAAAGAAGATATCTATTGTTAAACCATTGTTCAGAAAAGACGACTCTCATGAACTTACAAATTATAGGCTAATTACACTTATAGAAATATTTTCCAAAATATTTGAAAAACCCATGTGCTCTCGAATTTTATTTTCCTGACAAAATATAAAATTATTCGTGAAGAACAGAATGGCTTTCAGAAAGAAAAATCCACTACTCTTGCGGCTTTTTCTCTTCTGAAAAGCGTAACTGGGTACATAGACAAGAAGATACCAGTCGTTGCTATATTGTTTGACATGCATAAAAAAGCATAAAGCATTTGATTGCGTAGATGACATTATCCTTTTGGACAAACGCGAAAGATATGGAATTCGGGGTTATGCTCTGAAATGGATTGAAAGTCACCTTAAAAACCGTCAATGCGTGGCAGTGTCACGCGCTAAGGAAAAATCCACCGTAATGCTACGCAGATCAAAACTTTTAGAAAACCAGTATGGCGTACCCCAGGGCAGTATATTCGGTCCGCTTCTCTTTGTCTTATACGTAAACGACCTTACATCAATCTATACTTTTTGCCGCTGACATTTCTATAATTATACCTAAGAATGACATTTATTGTAATTTTGATACAATTCTAAATAATACGGTCAAATCAATAATGACATGGCTTGAATCCAATAACTTATGTGCTAATACAGCCTTGGCCAAAAGTATTAGGCACCCTACATTTTACTTAAAATAAAGGAAAAAAACAACTTATACTTTTTGAATTGATTTATTACCATAAAATTACACAAAAAAGAATGAAAAAAACTTAAAATCTAGTCGGTCCACCTTTGGATTTAATTACTGCACTAATTCTAGCTGGCATTAGTACAATCCTCTCTTGTAATGGCATGCCATTTTTGTACTAACGCATTTTTAATGCCGTTTTCAATGTGATACTATGCTCTTTAATCTTGCGCTTCAAAATGCTCCAAAGATGTTCAATTGGGTTCAAATCTGGTGACTGCGCTGGCCAATAAAACAAGTCAATGTTGTTTTCAGTAAACCAACGCATCGTAGGCGCTGACTTATGACAAGGTGCATTGTCTTGCTGGAATATAACTCTCTCTAAGTTGGTATCGCCAAAAATATTCGTTAGCGAAGGCATAAGCGCAGTTTTAAGCACTTTTATGTACTTTTCGCTGTTCATACGACCTTCGCCTGTATTTAATTAAATAGAATTAAATATTTGCGCTCAGAAATCTACAACACATTGCTGGCAAACATGCAGCGCAAATTGCTTATTACATACGTGGAATCTATACTACGATATGGGTTGTTGTTATGTGGACACGTAACAGATATAAAAAAAAGCTTTTATTTGTCAGAAAAAAAACGCATAAGAGGCTTGTGTAATGCAGGACCACTAGATTCATGCCAGCCATTATAAAAAATATCTGTATACTCACTTTTACAGGCTATCTTGGAAATTTACGTACTTGTGAAAAAAATCTCATATGAATTTATTAGTGCTAGAGACAATTCAGTCATAGGTAAAAGAGATCCCACTCCCACCAGGAGCTCTTTTTATCATAGCAACTGTAATATAATGTATATAATAGTTTTAACAATTTAATTCGCGAATTGCCACTGTCTAAAATGAAGACAGAATTGAAAAAATGGCTGATACAACACACTTTTTACAGTGTTAACGAATTTTTCTATCTGAAAGTTTCTAAATCTAAAATAAATTAAATTATAATTGTATTGAATTTTAAATGTTAGAACATTTTACATAAATGATCCTATTCTATTTTTATTTCCATTTGTTCAATGCATGCATATATATAATTTTTTATAGACGCAAGCCAAGGTGTCTTTGTTTCTTCCCGAGTAGGTACTTCAAGTCGTAGTACATTTCACTTAACCCAACATACTCAAGACTTTGCCGCCATTTCTGCAGTCTTTTATGAACTCAGACCCGTCTTTACTAACTAACACAACGTCGTCTGCAACAGCACGCACCACGGTACCTTCTATCATCAACAGCCTTAAATAGCACACTGCTCCCCCAAGGTTTGCCACAATAACCGGTCTTATGCTGCCCGGATCCAACGGCTTTCCACGACCTCCACCCGGTCGTCGGACTGCCTTGTGGGTGGCCACCTGGGGACTACGTATCGACTACGTATCGAGTGGGGACTACGTATCGTAGGACGCAGCCTGATTAGGCTTAATCAGGCTGCGTCTTCCGATACGTAGTCGCCACTCGAGTTAATAAGTAATACTGACCATAAAATTAACTAAAGAAAAAATAAAAATGATAAAAAATTCGACCATCAGGAGATCTCTAGTAGTTACTTATAGTTACTAAGACTTGAATGCAATGAGGGTCTTCGATACTTTTTCTGCCACCAGACGGCGCTTCGTATGCGTTAGGTCCAAACAGCTGTCAGATAGCACAGATTCTTACCGAACGTATAATATTTTAGTGAAATTCGATGAATTTGGAAGTGTTATTGAGTTTATTATAGACGGCCAGAGAAAGGTTGCCGAACTGAAGATTGACCATAGGCAAGCATAGGCACTGCACAACACTGTGGAATCTTAGAAATCAGTCTTCCTTTTGTAACGTTTTTAAGAATGAATAAACCAAAAAAGATGATCGAAAAATACAAATCGTGTATGTGTTTTGACAGGTGGTTGGACCTGACGCTACAGTGCTGCCATCTCACGTGGAACATTTCAGAAAACCCTCATTCGAGAAGTTTATAAAAAAACACATTAACCTAAAATAAGTTTGAATACCATTTAAAAGAGATTGCTTTTGTAAACGTCATATTTTTGTTAGCTAGAAGTCAAACTTTGGAGAAGTATGATTTTATACGATAAAGTAACTTACGAAAAACCGCAGACAAAGTACGTTTCTTGCAAAGTGTTGTTCTGACTTAGTCGGGCTGATAGGGCTACATGGGTAAGGATTATAGGGTCGGCAATGCGCCTTTCCTATAGTTTATGTGTATATAAGAAAGACGGATTTACAGACACAAAAAGGAAATGGCCTTTCCGTTTTTCTTGAACACGAATTAAGGATTTGTACCAGAGCTTATTTAATAAATCTGAGTATATCTACTAATACATAAGTTTATTATTGCCTAAACTATATTGTAAAAAATAAAATCATATGTCTTATTATATCCCAAATGTCGTTGAATACTTTGTTCTTTCTATCTATCCTATGCTTCCCGTAAGAAACTGACGACCCTATTTATTCTCGGATTTTCTAAGTCAGGTGACTCTAATTCCAGCAGAAAACAGGAATACTTTTCCCCATCTCCTACGAAGAATACATACCCACATTTCATAAACTCTGAGGCTTCATAATTAAAACTAAAAATGGACTACATACGGTTCGTTTTAAGTATACTTGTATTACCCACCGTGTGGTAACGGAATAAGAATACGGAATGTCACCACCCCTATTCATCCCGTGGGTGTCGTAAGAGCCGACTAAGGGAGCAGACTACACAAGACAACAGCACTGCAAAGAGAAGGAAAACTTGAAACGAACCCTATACAAACCCGTCTGGCCAGCGTGGTATACTAGGCCAAAACCTAAGGAGAGACCTATGTCCAGCAGTGGACTATTATGGGCCGTTGATGTGATGTGTAAAACCCACTTGGCAGTTTTACAACTACGCCCTCTCTCTATAGTACTTGTAAATTTAAAGTAACGCAAAGGTCTTCGACATTCCGTACATATCAACTTTTTGCCTATTTGGCCGAATGCCAAATACCCTTGCTTGCTTCCATGCGATAATAGACATTTAAATTACGTTGTCAGTTTTTTACCGCCAACTTTCGTTGAAAGTAATTTTATTTTAGCTGCTGCTTCTATAATTTATGATGTTAAAATTATTTTCTGTAGTCTTTTGTAGGGCCGATAACCAGATTGAATAATTTAAATGGTATTAAAGAAGTCAAATATGTACAGAGTTAACTCAAGAAGTGACGACGTGAGAGTTAATCCTTAATACGAGATTAAGCTAAGGAAGCGGAATTAAGATAATTTATATGGCTATAATTTATCAACAATGTATCCAACATAACTTACTCTACGGGCGTTTCTACACCTGAAAATGTTCAGTTTTTCATTCTTATTTTTTACGTCGTCGTTGACCAAACACAACTAATAAATGTGACTTAAAAACGTCTCCTACTCACGATTAAGGTAGTGTCATTCATGACTCACTCAGAAAAAAACCACTTTGTAAGTCGACCTAAATATTTTAAAGGGTTGCAGTAGTCATCATTTCTGATAGATTTAACTCTGAAATACCATTTCCCAAAAAATAAAATTTTCAAGATATTGGACTTTTAATAATAGATTTTTAATCGCCGAAATTTTGCCTATTAGTATTTTTTTTAGTACTTATATCCTTTATTTTATGACCTTTTTTACTGTTTTTGTGTAGTTGATAGATTGGTTTAAAATTTCAATTACTAAAATTGTAGTTAAGATAACAAACTGGGCTAAAGTAGATGGTTAATAATAGGAAAAATAAATACATTTGTGAAAAAAAACTTACGATAGTTAAACTGTAGATTTATTTAAAAATATATACGTATGCGCAGCTATCTAAGAAAGTATAATAGTCTAGGATAGTACCAGAATTCATAAAAAAACTTAGATGAAAGACCGGGTAAGAAAAACCAACAGCATCGGAAGCACAAATCAAAGTCCACTTAGCAATAGTTAGTCACAAATAGAAAACGATTTTTTTATATTATTAGTCAAAGGAATTTTTTTTAAACAAATTCATTAATTATTCCTATTATTAACCATCTCACCTTCGTCTAGTTTGTTAAGTTAATTACAATTTTAGTAATTGAAATTATAAAATAATTTATCCACTATACAAAACAGTAAAAAAGGCTTAAAAAGGATATACGTTCTAAAAAAATTGCAAGTAGGCAAAATTTCAGCAATATTTACAAAAAATATTATAAGTCCAATATCTTGAAAGTGGTTATTTTTGGGATATTGTATTTCATAGTGAAATCTATCAGAAATGATGGTAACTACAATGCCTTAAAGTATTTAGGTCGACTTACCCAGTAACCCTGTATATACCTTTGTGCTTAACATCACGTTTCATTTGCGCTTATAAATGTTGTAACCAAAAAACTATTAAGAAAACACGTTGCAAAAATGTGTTTGTAGTTTTCTGCCTTCTCTATTCAAACGATGTATTAGTACTGGTATAGCTCATATTATGTAGGTACTAATACTTTGTACATATCTCTTAATCTGTGGTATTTTTTGGTAACTAACACCTGATAATTCCTACTCTTGGAACTTCAAAATTACCCACAGTCCGAAATAGTACCTAATGTAACAAATGATTTTGTCCTGATTTAATCACCAAACACTTTTAGAGTATACCTTACGCTATACTATACGCTACCATTAAAGCTGAAACAGAGAGGGCTAAAAAATAATTCGTGCACAAAACAATGACAACTACTTGTAATTATGCTGCTTATTGCTTGTTTTTTTTTATCAGTTTCATAAAAGTATTTGGAATGTATGAATGAAAGTAGATGACAGACAAAATACATCTAAAAATGTAAAAATAATCTGTGAAATAAATCCGGTCTAACAATTTCAGTTGCGGAAATAAAAAAATCCAATATATATCAGCTTATTGCGTCAAAGGGAGTTCTCACGTGACGAAAGTTCGAAAACATTCTTTGTAAACATTGAATACAGTTAATAAAACACAATATTTATTCAAACAGCTGTCTCCTTAGCTATATTTGGAACCAGACACCATTATAAATTACAGAAGCAACAAAAATACCTTCGTATTTCAATGTCGTAGAAATTGTCAACATAAAAAACTTTAAGTAACGTTAAATAGATCACAGTTACATAAAAAACTACCATTATGTTCTAATTGCCTCATTTGTATTTACTACAATCGTATATAAAACGACGAAACGAAACACCCGCAGCGTAACAAAGAAAAGACAAATGAATACTTTTAGAACGAAACCGAACACATCTTCGGTCGCATTTTGCTCGACCAATCGTAGCTAACGTAGACGTCTACGAGTTTCGTAGAGGCCGCTGACGCAGTAGGGCGGCGTAGCACTACACTTTATCGGGACACGGGCTGAATACATTGACCTTAGTTAACAATCTCCAAATTTTATGTTTAATTACGCTATACAAAAATATCAGTACTTGAGTGTAGAGCCCGCCGCGTGACGGACGTTATGGAGCGAACGGTTCTGCCATGACATCAATAAAAATATTTAAGGAAACATCTGCAGTCATAAAAGCTGTCATATCACACTGACGATGCTGAGGGGTCGAGCCGAAGAGTAGCGGAGGCAGTCAGCGGTGAACACTGGTGGCGAGAAGGTGGTGACCGGGGCAGAACGATGTCGACGAAGTCAGGTCGGTAGTGCAGTGCGTTTCGCGCCGGCGCGGATCGATCGCGTTCCATCGACCGCGGAGGCGGGACGGGGCGGGGCGCCGTCGCTCAGTCGCGCGCGGTCAAGGCGTGCGGGAGCGCGCATCGCTGCACGTGCATGGCGCGCCTGACTGGATGCCTCGCGCCCTCGGGGAATGGCTTCGTCCGAGGAAGAGGCGACTACCGCGTCGACTGGCGAGTTCAGTGACGATGAAGACTGCCTCAGTGTCCGAAAATGGTGGTGCTTTCTCCTGTCGTCGATATTCACGTTCCTTGCGGGGTTGTTGGTGGTGCTGTTATGGCGCGCGTGCGCGTTTGTCTGCTGCCACAAGGAGCCGGAACTGGCGCCCAACGACCCCAAGCAGAAGGAGCAAAAGGCGGCGCGCCAGAACAAACAGGAGTTCGAGGGGACGTTCATGACCGAAGCGAAAGACTGGGCCGGCGAACTTATATCCGGTCAGACCACCACCGGACGAATACTGGTAAGTATTTGTATCTACCTGAGATTCCTCTCTTAAAGATTAGCAGTCCTAAATATTTGGTACGAAATGGTTTCAGGATGCGTAATAATTTATTCGCATGTACTTGTCTCTAAACTCTCATAGTGATTTACGTTGATTAGTTCAGTTAGACTATCATATTTGTTTATAACTATATTCGACGTGTCAATGAATACTAATTATATTAAATATTAATAATATTGTAAAATAATTTAAGATAAGTGATATACGCCGTATCAGAGTTTAATTTAAAATATCTCTGGAAAGAAAATTTGCTTTAATTCTGGGTAATACTCAATGAAGTTGTTTTAAAAACATTTTCTTATCCGTGGGTAGATAAATAATTACCATATAATCAGCTGAATGGACGGCGATGACGGTTATTGTTCCATTTTCAAATTATTTTCAGGCATTCTATTTAAAAATTTGGTAATTTTCAGAGTTGTCACCTATGTTCGGTAATATCTAATAATATTGATCTTATTTTAATTTCATTATTAAATATTAAAAAAAAACAATCCTAAATAAAACCTTTTTACTGATGGATCAGCAGAATTTCGATTCCACCCCGTTAAAAGGTGATATAAAAATAACGGACAGCATTAACCCAAATCTGTTCAGTTTACCTCCACACCCCACCGAATATACAATACTTTGGTGACGTCAGTCGGCAGACTGCTACAAAGTATCGATATCAATAAATCGCTTTTACATTTATCAGCGTGCAATTGCATATTCGTTTTTTTTTTAATGCAATAATGTTTCACAGACACCATTCATGAACGATAACTCAAATTTTCAAGTTAAATACGAGTATACCTACCTAAATAAATAACAAAAAAATCAGATTTTAGTAAAATTTTCCAAGAGCATCATCATCAGACTTTTTTTACAGGCCGACCTATTTCTATAGCTTCTGACTAGAAATACATAAAAATGACGATATTGTTCAAAATATCGTCAATTTTATGGGAGTATTCAAACAAAGTGATACGTATAACAATTTTAAAACGTTTTGTTATATCTCCTATGAATGATTATAAATATTTTTTATTATAACGTGATAATCTATACAAATAAATAAAATTGGAGTGTCTGTTTGTAATATTAAAATAACCGCTTTTTACTAAATACATATGTATGTTTACACGGTACATATGCCAAAATATTTTTTTTTACAATTTTTGTCTGTCTGTCTGTTTGTTCCGGGTAATCCCTGGAACAGCTGGATCGATTTCGACGGGACTTTCACTGACAGATAGCTGATGACATAAGGAGTAACTAAGGCTACTTTTTTTAGACTAGCTTCGCCCCGCGGCGTTGCCCGCGGTTATAACAACAAACGCGGGTAACACCGCGGGTCTCAGCTAGTAATAAATAAGGTAACAAAGTGATATAGGTTCTATATAGACTTATAGGTCTATACGAGTCCTACTATAGTCTATAAAATAGGATTGTAACACAGGGGTTGTTGCATTCTAAGACTTTATTTGTCCTGTTTGAAAGGTCCTACATCCTTCAATTGCCGGAGGTAGCTCTCAATTTAATTTGCGGGGCTTTCATTTAGTTGTTATAGGTTTTTACATACTATAGTATATCTATAGTATGGCTGCATTTGAATGTTTAACTCATAATATGGAACCTGACCTTTAGTTACATACCTGAAAGTATGACAAACATCGCAGCGAGCCTGACTCTGTACTTTTGTTTATTTTCGAACTACTCATAAATACATTGATATAAATCTTATCGAGAATATTTAACACTTAGCAACGTTCAAATAAATCACATTTATGGCCTTTATAATTTCATTTTTATGGATAAACTTATTCCCACCAGTGATTAATTGTAGCCTTTAATTATTTTAATATGGACAAGCATGTAGATAGGTTACTCTAGCAATGGGAATTTTATTAATTAAATAGCAGCCTAGAATTATTAATCTTTCGGTGTAACAGCATGAATAGTCCATCTCCACTTTAAGATTAATCTATATATATAAAACTAGCTGAGACCCGCGGTGTTACCCGCGTTTTTGTTATAACCGCGAGCAATGCCGCGAGGCGAAGCTAGTGTATAAAAGTAGCCTAAGTTACTCCTTATGTCATCAGCTATCTGCCAGTGAAAGTCCCGTCGACATCGGTCCAGCCGTTCCAGAGATTACCTGAACAAACAGACAGACAGACAAAAATTGTAAAAAATGTTATTTTGGCATATGTACCGTATAAACATACATATGCATTTAGTAAAAAGCGGTTATTTTAATATTACAAACAGACACTCCAATTTTATTTATTTGTATATATATAGATTACTTGCCCAGACTAACCAACTGATTCGTCAACGCAAAGCCCAAATAAACCGTTGAAGCTACAAACTTAAAATTTTGGCTGCCGATGCTTTTCATGTTATAAACACCCACTAAGGTTTTTTGGAAATTAAACCCCTAAGAGGATAAAATAGCTAGCACGAGGCAAAACAATCCCGACAACAACAAGGAATCGAACCCGAGACATCAGCACAGCGTTCGCATAAGTTTCTACTGCCCCACCGACAGTCGTGTTTCTAAATTTGAAAATGATGAAGTTTCATACAACCATTTATCCCTTATTTTACCCTCTTAGGGGTTAAATATACACGTCACAAATTATCAAGTAAATATTTATGTACATAAATACATATTAACATTAACTTTTACAATGCAATATAAGTAATAGGTTGGTAATGCAATATAAGTAGTAGTTGGAGATTTTTAAAACCAGCATTTTCATATTTGATTATCTGTGGATTGGCGCGCAATTCGTAATTCAAATAAATATTATTCGAAAGCCATGTTATGTTCATTTAAAACTCAGTCATTTGTTTTAGATAGTGTTTTGTTTTTGTATAATTGTTGTAGTTTTCGTACAATTTTCGAATATGGGTTCCTACGTGGAAATACCGCTACGCAAACAACAAGAAACATTAACCACGTGTACGGGCCTAATACTGCTTGCATAAGCACGGTCCATTATTGGTTCAATCGCTTTAGATCTGCAAATGTTGAGTTGAAGAACGAACTTCGCGGTCGGTTGGTAACTATAGTCGACAACGACGAATTGAGATTTCTACGGCCTTTAAAGTTAGTGCCAAAACATTTGCGTCAAAGCGAAAAGATGAAAAAGGTTGATAAGTGGGTGCCACGAACTAAGTGATAATCAGTAAAACCTATGCGTCGAAGCATGCTTAGCAATACTGAATCGGCATAGAAACGAGGGAATTCTGAATTGAATTGTTACCAGCGATGAAAAGTTGATCAAGTACGACAACCGTAAGCTATCGTCTCAGTGGATGTACCCGGGAACAGCACAGTACAGCAAAAAGAAGATTACCCATAGGAAGATGATGGTTACTGTCTGGTGGACCAGTCCCGGACTTGTACATCGCAGCTTCTTACCTATGGTACAACAGTGACGGCAGATGTCTATTGCCAAAAATTGCAAACAATGATGGAGAAGCTCGCAACAACCACAACTGGTCAATCGCTCTTCCCGATTGCTTCTCTACGACAACGCTCGAGCTCACGCTTTACGCTAGACTACAAGAGTTACAGCTGGAAGTTCTCCATCACCCACCGTACTCATCGGACCTTGCCCCAACTGATTCCCACGAAAAAATCCCCCTAGAGGCAGTACAAAACGCTTTCGCTGACTTCATCGCCTCCCGTAAACTCCTACAGTAAAGGAATAAACAAACTACCATCAAAATTGCGAAATTTTATAGATAATTTGGGACATTACTCTGATTAGCCAAAACAAAAAAACTAACCAACATTTTTATACTTTAAAATTTTCATACAAATCTCCAACTTGATAGGCAAAGACCTAATATGAGGAATATAGGAAGAATAAATATAGATGTGCGTATATTATTATATTGTGAACAAGTCTGTTCTGTCATCGACATAGATTCATTACAGTCACAGAGCACTATGGACACGTGTCTTACCCAAGATAAATGTCCTGTCCTGTTCATAATGGATGACAGTATTAAATGGTAGTGTAAATTTCAATGTCTTAATAAAGTTTTTTTTGTTTTTTTTTTGGTTGTCTTTAAATTTGACAAGCTCGCTTATATTTTAAAAGATACCTGAACGTATTATTATATACATATTGGCGTAACTTATAGCCTTATAGTAGGTATTTGATTTGATGCCTTTGATGCATTTGAGCCTTTCCAATTATTATTTTTCGTTAGATATCTTTTTGCGTTAATTAGCTCGTTTGAAGAATAATTCTATTTCTATAGACAATAACGGGGAAGTAGAAGTAAGAATAAAATTACGAATAAAATTTGGTTGGTTAAGGTATCTAGAAAGAAAATACTTCGATGACAATGATATCCTTAACGACACTTTGCTAACGATTTAAAGTTTGTTTGCCACCTTAGCTTTTTAAGTAAGTTACATTCCCTTTTAATGACATATACTGTTATTCTTTTATAACGAAAATATGATTACAATTGAAGCGCAAGGCCATATCGAAATTCGATAGAAGTATCCTAGGTCATAATGTGGGAACTACCAAGTGCCACATGTCATTAGAACACGGTTGTCGTAATTGAATTTGTTAAAAAGTCTATAATACTCAATTTACGTATATCTATAAAATCGTTGTTTGGTCGAAATTACAGGAAACGAAACCTTTCATAGAAGAGAATCCAGGATTCGGGCAAACATTTACGTTTTTCATGGAATCTCTGAATTGTCGTGTTAATTATAGGCTTAACTCGTATTAAAAATGCCAATACTACTAAACGGATAATCATGAACTTTGCATACACGTTGTCTAGAGTACAGTTTATAGAAATTACGGTATTTCCGGACCGAAATTGCTTTCAAACCTTCTAGAACAACAGCCTACTCTCTCCTCAAAGGGCC